ACCAAGCACTTGTTTTGCACTCAGAAATGTTAAGGAATGGGCTGTCTCAAGATGTTAGGACTTCTTTGATTAATAGCATGTGCAAGACCGGGAATTTGCACCGCACAATGAAATTCTTTGATCAACTGCATGCTAAGGGATTATATCCCAATGATAGAATTTACACAACATTGATTGTTGATTTTCTCAGCAGGGTCTTATGAATGAGGCTTTTGAATGAAATGATTTCAAATGGATTTTCCCCTTCAATTGTAACTTACAATGCGTTAATTAATGGGCATTGTGCAGTGAGCAGGATGGAAGATGCTTTACTCGTGACTCAAGAGATGGAACAGAGAAGGCTGGTCCCAGATGTTGTAACTTATAGTACAATAATATCTGGGTTCTGTAGAAACTGTGGGTTGCAAAGAGCATTTTGTGTAAAGCAGCAGATGGTTGAAAAAGGGGTTTTACCTGATGTTATTACTTATTCATCCCTAATTCAAGGTCTTTGTGAGCAGCAAAGACTGACTGAAGTTTGTGAACTTTTCCAAGAGATGTTGAGAGTAGGAATTCAACCAGATAAGTTTACATATACTACACTTTATTGGTGCATACTGTGCAAATGGGGATATTAAAGGTGCTTTTCACCTGCATAACAAAATGATCTATAAGGGTTTCTTTCCTGATGTCGTCACTTACAATGTCCTAATCAATGGGCTTAACAAACAGGCTCGCACTAGGGAAGCAAAGCGGCTTCTTGTTCAAGTTGTTGTATGAGCAATCAGTGTTACTTATGCCATGCTAATAGAAAGTTGCAAAGATCTTGAATTGAAGAGTGTGGTAGATCTTATTAAAGGATTCTGCATGAAAGGTTTGTTGAATGAAGCTGACCAAGTTTTTGAGTTGATGCTGCAAAAGCACAAGAAGCCGAGTGAAGTAGCTTATAACTTACTTATACACGGTCATTCCAGGAGTGGGAATTTGCATAGAGCCTTGAATCCATTTCAGAGAAATGGCTTATCTTGGATTTATTCCTCATACAGTAAGTATTATTGTGCTCATGAAAGATATTTTAAAAAAAGGGATGAGTGAGGAATTAACAACAACAACAACAACAACAACATACCCAGTGAAATCCCACTAGGTGGGGTCTGGGGAGGGTAGAGTGTACGCATACCTTGCCACTACCTCGTGCGAGGTAGAGAGGCTGTTTCCGAAAGACCCTCAGCTCAAGTACATCGAATCCAAGTAAAAGGCGAGGAAAACAGTGTATAAACATACCATCCAATACGAAAGATAGTATACAATCAACAAAGGAAGACATTAACATCAATAAACAATGAGAGAAGTGAAATGCATTAACAACATAAGGCTATAGGTATCACAGACAAGAACTGCAAGTGCAAGACTAGGACTACTACACACGCTAACAACCCCTACCCTTGCAAGGAGAGACAACACGCTAGCCCTACTAACTTTCAACCTTAATACGCGACCTCCACTCCTTCCTATCTAGAGTCATGTCTTCGGTAGTGTGAAGCTGAGCCAAGTCCTGTCTAATCACCTCTCCCCAATACTTCTTAGGCCTACCTCTACCCCTCCGCGTACCCTCTACAACCAGCCCCTCACACCTCCTCACTGGGGCGTCTGCGCACCGTCTCTTCACATGACCAAACCATCTCAGTCTCGCTTCCCTCAGCTTGTCCACCACAGAGGCCACTCCCACCTTCTCCCGGATAACTTCATTCCTAATCTTATCACTCCTAGTGTGCCCACACACCCATCTCAACATCCTCATCTCCGCAACCTGCATTTTCTGAACATGTGAGTTCTTGACTGGCCAACACTCCGCTCCATACAACAAGGCCGGTCTAACTACCACTCTGTAGAACTTACCTTTAAGTCTAGGTGGAATTTTCTTATCACACAAGACTCCAGAGGCAAGCCTCCATTTCATCCAAGCAACCCCAATGCGATGTGTGACATCATCATCGATGTCGCCACTTCTTTGGATTACAGACCCAAGATACTTAAAACTTTCTTTCTTAGGAATGATCTGTGTGGCAAGTCTCACTTCCACATCTGCCTCATCCAACGCATCACTGAATTTGCACCCCAAATATTCTGTTTTGGTCCTACTCAACTTAAACCCTTTGGACTCAAGCGTTTGTCTCCACACCTCCAACCTCGCATTAACTCTGTCCCGCGTCTCATCAATCAGTACTATGTCATCCACAAATAACATACACCATAGGACCTTCTCCTGAATAGACCGCGTCAACTCATCCATCACCAAAGCAAATAGAAAAGGGCTAAGGACTGATCCTTGGTGCAACCCCATCTCAACTGGGAAATGTTCCGAGTCACCTCCAACCGTTCTAACCCGAGTCTTGGCTCCACCGTACATGTCCTTTATCGCCCTAATATAAATCATCGGGACACCTTTAGCCTCCAAGCACCTCCAGAGGACATTCCTCGGTACTTTGTCATAGGCCTTTTCAAGGTCAATGAACACCATATGTAGGTCTCTCTTCCTTTTTCTATATTTTTCTACCAGTCTTCGCATAAGATGAATGGCTTCGGTCGTCGACCGTCCCGGCATGAATCCAAACTGATTCTCAGAAATGGACACCCCTCTTCTCACCCTCATCTCCACCACTCTCTCCCAAATCTTCATAGTATGGCTTAGCAATTCGATACCCCTGTAGTTGTTACAGTTCTGGATATCACCCTTGTTTTTATACAACGGAACCATTGTACTCCACCTCCATTCATCAGGCATCTTTGCTGTCTTAAAAATAACATTAAACAACCCAGTCAACCACTCTATACCTGCCTTGTCCGTGCTCTTCCAAAAATCCACCGGAATCTCATCGGGTCCGGTCGCTCTTCCCCTGCTCATCCTACTGATAGCACGTATAACCTCCTCGCTCCTAAAACACCTGTAGTACCCAAAGTCCCGAAGTCTTTCCGAGTGTGCCAAATCACCCAACGCAATGTCTCCGCCCCCTTCTTCATTTAGAAGTTTGTGAAAGTATCTTCGCCATCTCTGCTTGATGGAGGTCTGGATGAGTGAGGAATTACATCAAGTAATTCAAAGCACACTAAAACGTGTAACTTGCTGATGGTGAGCTAGCAAAAGTTATTGTTGAGGTGAACTACAACGAAGGGAACATGGATGCAGTATTCAATGCACTTACTGAAATGGCCAAGGATGGCCTTCTTCCAAATAGTGGGAAAACCGCATTTTGTCACATGCTGCAATAAAGTACATATCGTCTTAAAATAATCACACCAACTTTGCCCATGCATGGGGTAGAATGCATCAAGCAAGCAGGAAACTGGGTTGCAACAAATTGTTTGCCCCTCATTTAGGTTTCTCATGCCATTGTGAATGTGGGAGAGCTAGTTTACTCTGATGAGCGACATTCTTTCGAGAGGGTTAAATTCCCACTTTGCTTGAAAATTGTAACTTTCCACATGCTTAGTAGGTCAGATTTTGAACTCCATTTATCTTTGGACTTAGTACATACCTCAATTTTTGTCAATATCCTGCATGTTAAACTTACATATAGATAGGATTTTTATACTTTCTTTAGGAAGTTTCATTATATTTAGTCTTAGGTTCAGATGTTTGCAAATTTCAATGTATGGACATTAGCTGCATTTTTTTTTTGGGGTTTTCCTCTTCTGAAGTGGCATCATCATGCTAAATTGGGATTTCCTCTTCTGAAATGGCATTATCATGCTAAGTGTTAACGCCTAGCATCTATGTCATATATTCCATCGATACTTCGCCTTCTCCTGTTGCTGATTTACTGGCCTTGCCAATGTGATGCCTCATGTTCCTATTGCCTATCACTATTACATCTGCTATATTTTAGTGGTAGGTCAGTTCCATATACCAGCAACGCATTCACAAAAGGATGAACAAATAATTTTTGAATTCGTCTCAGCTATATAAGTAGGGTGCTTACTTGAAAAGGTGAAACAAGATGAAGAGAAGGAAGTGAATTTCATTCGAGAAAGTGTGAAAACTCCAATTATGATGTCTTTTACTAGTACACTTGGTTCACATAGTAAAACTACATTAGACAATAACATGATTGTAGATGAAAGAGCAATTTAAGTAATTCTTAAGCAAAACAATGCTGTTATAATTCAACTCTTTCTGCCAGTAATTTGATACATGTTTTCCATTGTGAAATCTTCCTTCCATGCAGCCTAAGGAGCTTTTCTGTTCACGAACATTGTATATACCATTGATGAAGTCTGTTTATGGATGGTCATGGCTGTTTCGAGAGTAGGATTTGATTTACAGTGTCTTGCCTTTAGATCAGCTATCACGTAGTCTCTGTACTTCTGGACTAACTTTTTCCATTCTAATACCAAATGTAATAATCCAAGTCTAGCAACTAGTCCCAGAACTTTCTGGTTTTGTAACTTTTATCAAAAGAACTTGAAGCTCAGTCTATCAGCCCAGAATTGCCAGTTAGAGGTAGAAAGCGTTTTCCATTTTAATAAAAACTCCAGTTGCATAAAATAGTACTGGCTTAAACATTCCATATTTCTCATACATTGACGTGCAATGTGGTTTTACTATTATGGTATACAAAAATAATCGAGAACATAACGAGATCAGAAAAGACCAAGAGCACTGCCCCAGGTCTTCTCACTTTCTATATTCTGCTAACATATTATGAATCTCAAGAAATATTGGTGCATTTGTGTTAAATAGGCTTCTCACAGGAAGCGACAGGGTGTTTTCATATTTCCCCACAAATGACTGTTTGCAAGTTCATCCAGAAGTTACATTTGATTGATTTGCTTTCTATGGTTCTAACGACACAAGTAGACCAACTGTTCCTTTGCTACCAGTTGACATCTCATCTTACTAGAGCGATGTTGATTGTCAGGAACATCTGTTCCGTGTGCATCATAGCTAGTTTCTGAGTGTTGTTATTCAGTTCAGTGTTTCCTCTAGATTGGGCATGAAGGAAAATTCTCTGTTTTTCATGAATAATCGCTTTGTGCAAATAATACAAGATGGTGAATCAATATCTCATGCAACAAATGAACATCCAGTAGCACTGCTTGCAGAACACACAAAAAAACTCTTGCAAAGAGATAATACTATTTACATGCCTATCTTATCTCAAAGGCATTGAAATGCTGCTGCTGTTTCTGCATCCATACTTCACAAGCTTTATGGCAACAAATTGGTAAGTAATGATTAATCTATCTCCTGGACTTCTAGTGCAAGGGGAAACAGATGTAAAAATTGGTAAGTAAGAGAAACAGATGTAAAAAAGCATTATTGCAAAGAAATTGAATGTAGTCATTCTTTTGCTGGATCTGCTCTCAGTAGTGTAATCTGAAGGGCCTTGGATTTTTCAAATCTAAATCTGATTTCACAATTGCAAGCAATTACTGCATTAAATCGTTGTTATTTGGCAACTCTTTTATTCGCTCACTTTTATATATTCAAATTGTCATCTTGAAACTATTTAACATTCTCTTGCCTTCAGATTCATTGCTTAACAAGCTTTGACCACTAGACTAAAGGCATAAAATAATGAGGATTCACCAAATCCAGCTTTCACCCCACCCCTTTTTCTTTTGATAGAGAATCAAATACTTCTCTCATTGGAGTTATAGTGTAAATAGTTGAGAAATTACAGTAATCAAAGTTGCTGAGCTGTCATAAGGGGAAAGTTGTAGTCTACATATATCTTGTGATAGGTCACCTCACTCAGTCATTTTAGATTTTGAGAGCAAAACGAATTAGGTTAGCAGCGGCACATTCAACCTGATTCGAACTGGAATCATTCAGAACCAGATTTTATGGGTAAACAGGGGCCATGTTTCCATTGTAGCGTCAAGCGTAAGTTCTCCTCTTGATCAATATTTTCTCCTGAAGTTTTCCACATAATATCTCATAATTGTGGTTTTATAACTCTTTTTAGATATTTGAACTATTATTAGCTGAATCCCTCCACCTGTATCAATACTTCGATCCGTATCCCTGAATCTTAAAATTTAGAGCATGAAGGATCCAAACTACTGACACATAGACAACAACATACCAAGTATAATCCCACGAGTGGGGTATATGGAGAGTAGGATATACACAAACCTTACCCTACGTTTGTGGGGGTAGAAAGTCAGTTTTTGATAAACCATCGGCTTTAAAGAGGAGTATCTGAAGAAGGGTTGCAAGAAAATGACCACCAAATGACAAGATACGAAGTAAATAAACCATCAAATGTTGGGTGGTCCGCCAGTGGGTGGGTGGGGGATTATCTTACCGTTGAGCACTAGAGAAAGAGATAGTCCCTGTTGAATATTATACAGTTAATCACTGTCGTCTTAGATGGTAACTTTCCTCCTTAAAATATCATGCAAATAAATGCAGTCTGCCAAGAGGCTAACTGTTCTGCATGGTACCTTGAAGTATCAAGCAAATCCTTTTCAATCTTTCCACCATAAAGCTCAAAGTTCAACTACTTTGTATGGTTCCTTAACACGGTGATGAAAATTTGAGTACAAAAACAGTTGACACATTTGAAAAGTCTATGCATGTTTCACAGAGATATTTCCTTTTGTTTTGGCGAAGAAATACTCTAGTTCCGTGATGCTTCTGTTCTCGTGAAATGCATTCTATACCTTTTTACAAGAAATCTTAATTGTCAGTGATCACTGTGCTTTAGTTTCTGAGAAAAGTTTTTGCCTGTAAGAATGTTTTCTTAATTTTTCCCAGTTTAAACACTAATTAATTATGAACTCAAACAGAAACCATTCTTTGGAGAAATGGGCCACCTGAAAAACCAGTGCTCTGCAATGCATGTGGATCAAGATGGCGGGTTAGGAGGACACTAGATGGCTATATTCCCAGACATGGATACATAGAAAAAGAGAGCTATCAGCGACCTTCTGACATGAAGCCGGCTCGTGACGAAAGAAAGCTAGAAGTTGGAGTAGAGGTTTCTGGACAGGATGGCTCTTCAGCTTGTCTTGAAGAAGAAATGAATAACATATCAAGCCTAGGTTCAGCAGGGTCATCCTCAGACAACTGCATGCAGATGGAAGAAACAAATGGTAAAATAATTTCACTCATATATAGAGCACTTGACTTGTCGCAGCAAATATGATGCATGTTCTGAATCAAATCCTTTCTTAAGCACAAGGGTCATAAAAAATGGAGAACTAATGTCTTCCTATTTCTTTCCTCTGCTTGCATGATAGTAAGCCCAAAACTCTTAATCTCAAAGAAAATTATGAGATAGATGAAATTAGACAGCCAAATCATTGTAGATGCACCTTCCCCCAAAAGTAATCCTGCAGTGCATAGTCTTCTGATTCAAAAGAAAAGGAAGAAACAGTTCACCCAATATTATTGTTGCTTCCAATTAAGAACTTCTCTTATTCTATTGATTAAAAATGGATAAATTTGCTCACCCCCCACCCCTACCCCCACACCCACAAAAAAGTGCTCTAAGACAACTTGATAAGCATGTATCAAGATTCACGACACTCGGATTTATTTTTATGCAGGACATCCTTTTTGTTTCCCGCTTGTGATGTGATTGTCAAATCACATTCAGGGTTTTACCAAAACAAATCGCAGGGAATCAATCACTATAATAATACTCTATAGACAAAATGTTGGGTTTCTTTCTTGTTCATAGATCATTAATTATAGTGTTTCCCCTAAGCTTCAAAAACTTACTTTCCTTTACACAATGAACTGACATCGACAAATTACAGGTAATTTGGATTTTCAATAGAGATATGAACCGATCAGTCCAACTATACATTAACCATACAAATAATAAAAGCTTTACCCCAAAGTAAAAAGATCCATTATATTAATACCTTATTGTTTTATGTGCACTAACATTCACCTTTTGTTTGGAGAAGCATACAAAGATCCTCTCTGGAATCCTGACAGTGTCCCCAGAAGAAAGAGATCAGAGCGTAGAAAACACATTTTGTCACCTGTTGAAAGACTCCAGAGGCAACTTCATAACATTCTACAGGAGCCAGACTTTGAAAATATCTCTGCCGATGATGAAAATATTCTAATTTATGCAAGCAACAAATACATTCCTCCCAATGAGATTGGTCTTGGAGCTATGCTGCTTGTATCACCACCTACTGCTACAGTAGATAATGATGCCTCTTGCTCAGTGAATGTTCCTGTAGGAAATTCCAATTCCAATTTGTAAGTGAATTTTGAGATGCATGCACAAGGTTCAAGCTGGTATGTGAGCCAACTCTTACTATCTAGCTAGTACAATGTTTGTTAAAACAATTTGAGTTGTTCAACTTTACTAGATGTTCGCAACGGCAACGCTCAACAACTTGTGTGTTTTGAGACCATATAGTTTGCCAATAGTGGCTTCATTTTGGAGATTTATAATTCTGTTGTTTTATTGTATGGGATTTCAATGAATTAGATATGTCTATTCTGCTTTTTGGGTGCATTTGATATGTCAATTCCGATGCCGGTCATAGTGTGCTTGCCTACAAGTTTGTTAGTGTAAATAAATAAATTTTGGGTCTAAATCAACCCTACGGGCTAGTTTATGAGGGTAGGATTGCTCAAGTCTATATAAGGAATTCATAATTCCCTCATGCACTTATGTGGGACTTAACACCCTGCCTCACGCCCAAGACCGGACATCTAGTCTGTGGATCATTTAATATTGGGCCCAACATCGGATGAGTTTGACTCTGATACCATGTAAAGAAATCAATTTTGGGCCTAACTCTACCCTAAAAGTTAGCTTATGAGAGGAGGATTGCCCAAGTCTATATAAGGAGTCCATAATTTCCTCATCCCATGATGTGGGACTTAAAGAGCCCAATATCCATTATTTACCGTTTGTTTGCATGGGACTCCACATTACATGGATACTATATCAATGGCGTGTCGTTAAATTGTTCTCTAAAATGCTTCTGCGATTGCATCTTCCATATTCAGAGATGGGAGTTTGATTATTAAAGAAATAGGTATATCAACTTTAGATAAAGTATGTTCAGCCACAAAATGTTTGAGAACTAAGTCAACCAAAAGTCTCTTCGATCTCCTTTTAAGTTATAACAATAAGTCGATAATATTTACACTAAAGAGAAGCTAGAGAGCCATTAATACATAATCTAGGAGCAATTAAGAGTCAGAATAATTTAGTATTGAGTTTCATAAATGCCCCCAAGTAGCAACATAAATCTAGAGGGTAGCGAGGGGGTTCACCTGAACCCCCTCAGCAAAAAATTACACGGTATTTTGAACCTCTTGAACATGAGATTGGAGGTGGACTAAGTGGTTGAGATTCACCTTGAGGTTTCAAGTTAAAAACTCAAGCACCGCATTTTTATTTTTCGAACCCCTTAGTGAAAATCCTTGATCTGCCACTTTACCCAATATAACTCTTCAAAAGCTTCATATTACTTGATTGACTTTTAAGTAATAGGAAGTAGTTTAATAAAAGCAACAAGCATTGTAGAAACCAGAAAAAATGTATTCACTACCATAAAACTTCTTAGAAGGTCAGGAAATACAAAAACAGTAGAAAGGAGCGAATAGAGTAAAATTCATTACTACTTAGAAAAGGAAAATAGGACATGGGAAGAAATGAGAACATTAAAATCTCCGTCATTCTTTTACACAGTGGTAGAGCGGTGTAAATGATAATAGCTGAAAAAGGAAATCATAGGAGTGATTCATGGGACTGGATAAGCATCTTAGTCTCTGGAGGGTCATACAACTGAAAAAGGCTACTTTTGGGTTTGTTAAAGAATAGATTTCGGGCCTAACTCAACCCCAACCCCAAAGCCCAACTCATAGGGTGAGGATTGTCCAAGTCCATATAAGGAGACCAATTACCCATCCCATATCCCATGTGGAACTCTTAAAAGGGTCGTACCTTCATATTCTTAGTTTTGTTTGAAACGTAGAATGCTTAATCTACAAAGTTAATTATTTTTCCAAAAAAGGAAGTAGTATTGGCGGGAGATATAATTTTATGCCAAAATATTCTATAGACAAAATAGGGAATCAATCACTATATAATACTCTTATAGACAAAATATTGGGTTTCTTTCTTGCTCATTGATCATTAATTATAGTGTCTCCCCTAAGCTTCAAAAACTTACTTTCCTTTACACAATGAATTGGCATCGACAAATTACAGGTAATTTGGATTTTCGATAAAGGTATGAACTGATCAGTTCAACTATACTTTAACCATATAAATAATAAAGGTTTTACCACAAAGTAAAAAGATCTATTGTATTAATACCTTGTTGTTTTATGTACACTAACATTCACCTTTTGTTAGGAGAAGCAGTCAAAGACTCTGGAATCCTGAGAGTGTCCCAAGAAGAAAGAGATCAGAGCGTAGAAAACACATTTTGTCACCTGTTGAAAGACTCTAGAGGCAACTTCATACTAATCTACAGGAGCCAGACTTTGAAAATCTCTGTCGATGATGAAAATATTCTAATTTATGCAAGGAACAAATACATTCCTCCTAATGAGATTGTTCTTGGAGCTATGCTGCTTGTATCACCACCTACTACTACAGAACACTCTATGTCTCTATCTCCAATGGCAGTTGCTGGAAGTAAGTTTTGAGAAGCATGCATAAGGTTCAAGCTGGTAACTCTTTTATCTAGCTAGTGCAATGTTCGTTAAAACAATTTGAGTTGTTCCAACTTTACATGATGTCCTTAATGGCAACGACAACACCTTGTATGTTTTGAGACCATCTAGTTTGCTAATTCTGCATTTATTTTGGAGATTTATATTTCTTCTGTTATATTGGATGGGATTTCAATTAATTAGATACATCTATTCTACTTTATGGGTGCATTTAATATGTCGATGTTTGTCATTGTGTGCTTGCCTACAAGTTTGTTAGTGTAAAGAAATGAATTTGGGCCCAACTCAACCCACTAAGCTAGCCTATGAGGGTAGAATTACTCAAGTCCGTATGAGGAGTCCATAGTTCCCTCATCGCATTGACGTGGGACTTAACACCCAGCCTCATGCCCAAGACCGAACTTCTAGTATGTGGACTATTTAATATGGGGGCCCAATATCGGTAAATCATATATTGGGATGAGTTTGATTCTGATACCATGTAAAGAAATGAATTTTGGGCCTAACTCTACCTTAAATTTTAAGGGGAGGATTACTCAAATCCATATAAGGAATCCATAATTCCCTCATCCCACAATGTGGGACTTAAGAAACCCAATATCCATTATTTACGGTTAGTTTGTGTGGACTCCACATTAAATGGATACTACATCAGGGGTGTGCCATTAAATAGGTCTCTAAAATGCTTCTGCTATTGCATCTTCCATATTTGGAGATGAGAATCTACTATTGAAGAAGTAGGTCTATCAGCTTTAGGATAAGGTATACTCAACCGCAAAAAGTTTGAAAACTAAGTCGACCAAAAAGTTTCTTTTATCTTCTTTTAAGTTATAACGACAATTCAATAATTTTTACACTAAAGAGAAGCTAGAGAGCCATTAATACATAATCTAGAGAAATTAAGACTTAGAATAATTTAGTATTGAGTTTCATAAATGCCCCCAAGTTGCAACATAAATCTAGAGGGTAGTGAGGGGGTTCACCCGAGCCCGATCCCCTCGGTCAAAAATTACACAGTATATATTAGGTATTTTTTAAATTTTGTATGTATATATATTGATTTTGAACCTCTTGAAATTATGGTTAAATAAAACGGAAGAATTATAAAGAAATGCACAACTGACATTCTAGATGGTCTCAAAACACGCAAGTTATTGCGCGTTGCCGTTGGGGAAATCCGGTAAAGTTGGAACAACCCAAATTGTTTTTTTACCAACATTGCACTAGCTAAATAATAAGAGTTGGTTTCCCATACCAACTTGAATGTTATGCATGCATCTCAAAATTCACTTACATATTGGAATTTTCTATAGGAGCATTCACTGAGCGAGAGGCATTTTCTTCACAGATGTACTGCTGATAGTCTTGAGCATTATATAATGCTAGTTATCGTATCTACTTGTGCTGATGGAGCATCAGATACTTATTGCAGAAAGTTAAATTTGTTCAAGGTTAGGGAACTCTTCCTGGGCTTCTTTCTTTCTTTTTATATTGCGGTAACTTAGGTTGATGATTTTGCAAAATTTATATGGGGCAGTTCTAAGGGAAATATTTTTTAGTCAGTAAATTAAGCTTATTGGATTTATAGTTTTCTGACTTAGGCATTCTAAATGCTCAGAACATTTTTATTGGTCTGTGGCGGGGTGGTTTTTTTGATAAAGTTGTCGTGTATCATGCTCAATATTTTTCATAATGAATTTGGGAACTTTCTAAGCCTTTTCTTGTTTTAATTATAGAATGAAACTGGGTATGTTGTTGTATTGAAACTGCGTCTGGGATGTTGGTACTACCATGGGTCACAACTTGCAAAATTGGGTTTACCGGGTTATTCAGCAAGTGGTAATAACTTAGGGAGTTGCTAAATCTATTGATTGTAGTTCTTTAAATAATTCTATCATATATTAGCTTTGCCTTAGTCATTAACTCATTATACATCCTTTTTCTCAATAGATTTTTGTCATATTTTTCTTCCAATCTTTGCTTCGGAAACATTTCTTTTGAGCCGAGGGTCTATTGGAAACAACCTTTGTACCCACAAAGGTAGGGGTAAGGTATTACACTGGGTAGGTTGTTGATACATATTTGTGGGATGGTTAAGGACATAGATACTTTAATCAGATTGTCACATGTTAAATTTAGGCTTGGAACACTAACCATGTGCATATATACGGCATTAATCATTTGCTTCATGCATGATGAAGATGACGATACTTGAAGTCTTGGTCATAATGTAAAATGGGCATCCGCCGAATTTCTGTGGTCATTGGTCATGAAGTTTCTTATATAAGCTGGTGAGTATTGCTTCTGGAGTATGATGTACCTAATGTTGGTGCTCAGTGTCAAGCTTGTGAAGCTGAGCATTTTAGTACAAGCTAGATCAGTTGCATTTTCACAGTGGTGTGGCAAGGCTGCACCTGATTGCTTCATAGAGTGCAAAATAGGTATCCACAGTATCTGAACTAACGCTATTATATAAAGGATCTTTCCTTGCTTATCCAGCTGGACGTTGATTATCCTATTAAACAACTGAGCCCTCTTCTGTTCTTCAGGAAGCTCTGAAGCTACTTGGATGGGACATATGTCCTTCAAGATCATGTTCACGATCACTAAAGCAGCTCGGGAGCACCTGTTCTTTGGAAAATCTAGTTGGGGTTAATTATTGGCTTTAACGAAGCTCTATTTTATTACTAGGCTTCTACTTCCAGGGCAACTCAACTGACGAAGTTGGCCGTTAAACTCTGTTTTATATTGAACCGATAGTTTTCCCTATACAAAAACCCTCTTCCAAGGAAAAAGAAAAGCTGAATAAATATTTCACTTGTATGGTGCAAAGTGGAGATCAGTTTTATGATCCATTACAAATGTTGTTTTGGTTATATAGTGTTTTTGCCCAGGAGATGCTAATATATAAGTCATGAGATCATTCTATTATAATTTGTCGTGTGAGATCATTTCCTTGGAAATTTAGAAAAATATTGCAATGAAAGAGACTTTACAATTGGCAATGGTTGATCGTTTAATTTTTGTAAGCAAGATTTTTTAATCGAGTTTTACCTGAGAAATCCACCATTTCTTTTTATTTTTTGGGTTCGATTTTAATAAACTACTTATAATTTTTTTACTTGGTTGAGGAGTTTAAAATTTACACTAGCATGAATGTGTGAGGAATATAAAATTGCATACATGGATTTCGCAACTCAAACAAAATAGAAGGCTTCGTTTCCCTTAACATGATGAACTTTTGATCTTCCAAAAGTCGGAGAAATCAATCAAAGTCATAATGGGAAAAGAAATGGCATCCGCTGAACATATTGGATTATACAAAACAAGAAAAGCACATTCGCCTACTAGTAGGTAAATCAATAGCATTGAACCATGGATTATATGTGCCAAGAACAACATAAAAGCTCAATTGCACTAATAGGGGAAAACGAAAAAATATGATACGTAGTATAAAATTCGGAAGTGGTTCCTAGTAAATAGGAAGAAAGGTTAGTGGTGAGTGGTAATTTTTTACAACTATTACTATGGTAAAATTAAATAGTAGTATATGTTTACTTAGATGCGTAATTTTTTCAATTAGAATAACTTTTTTACACCGACACACAAATATCTAAGTATTATTTTTAGATTAAAAATTTCAAAAGTCTTTTATTTTTTTATTAAACACCATGCCAAGTTAAATGATACGCTCTCAATTTCATATTAGTTGATATCATACTAAAAAATAATTGTCCTTGTTCACCTTACTAAATTAAGAAAACATTAATTAAAATTATTCTATATTACCCCCTTGCAATTATTTCTTTTTGTAACTGTTCACATTTAATTGTAAAATTACTAAGAATTTTTTTAAAGGATGAATTTGTAATTATTTCTGACTTCTTAATAGGTGTGAAAAAAAGAAAGTGATTTATGTAGTTTTAAAAACTAAAAAACCCGTTTGACGTGGAAATTAAGCTTCAAGGTATATTCGCACAGCTTGGAAGTCCTTCCACCATTGAATTGCCGCAGGTCCCTGTAGTAGTGAGTCAAAGTAGTGGGAAATCAAGTGTTGTTGAATCTTGAGGCACTTGCGAATTCTTGCCTAAAAGGTTCTGATATTTGTAGAAGGCGCCCACTTGTTCTACAACTCCTTCAAACCAAACTTAATCTTGATGAGTCCTGGCAAACGATTTCAATGAAATTCGTTCGGAAATTTAGGTATTCTTGAATTGCAAGACATTGTAGTATTAGACTTAATTTGAATATTGACTCAATGGATTTAAACTGGGTGTACTGCAAGTCTCAAGATCAAATCAAGAAAAGACCAAAATAAAATAAAATAGGACGATCTTGTCCATCTGTCCTGGCCTTGGCGGGTAAGAAGGTGGCAGGTATCCTGGAATTAGTAGGAAAGTAATTTGAGCAAATATTTTGTTCCAATACCTAAGTAGTCTCATCTACTCAATCAACTTATGCAGTAGGTTTGGATTTGAGCAAATATAATTATGTAACAATGCTAAAGAAAAAAGATGTTTGGATTCCTGTCTATTAGTATTAGTTTACTGGTTTACCGTGTTTATGAATTGTTTTTTGTGGGGTTTTGATTAGTGATCATTAGAAGATGAAGTCTTATTCATAAGACTCAAGTTCTTATAAACCGGTCTTGTCCTTCCTGATCACTATTACTGGTTTAGATAATGTTCAAGTTATGATGATCAACACACTTTTTAATTCTTTTGTGCAAGTTCATTTATCTTTAAAGACTAAATTATTAAGTATTTCTTTTTATGCAATAGACTAAACTGCTAAGTATTGCATCTGTGCCTCGGTAAAGTTCATTTATCTTTCAATTGTGAGAACATCTAATTTTATCTTAAAGGGGTGGATTAAGTTCTCTTTTTTATGAAATAGACCAAACTGTGAAGTATTGCAACTGTGCCTCGGGAAAAAAGTAGTTGAAGTTGGTCATCCTCTCTATGTCCTTTCCACTCCATTCAAACCACTGTCTGGTTGATCTATTCACTCTTTATCTTATGGGTGTAAGCACATGTTGTTTATATTGGTTGCTAATTATGATGATATATTTGCTTAGATGTTATTGTACATGCTGTCAGAGGCGTATCTAGGATCTCAAGAACATGGGGGCACCATTATCTTCAAAACAGACAATTAATTCAATTATATAAATTTTACGGTGAGAACAAGTTGACGAGCAAATAGGTAGTAGCAATCTTTATATAGTAATCTATTAGCAAAAAACATCATTCACTTACAATTGTCCTCGACGAGTTTTCATATTTTGAAAACGGTCAATAATGGCATCATTACTTACATTTTTAAATATACTACGCTCTATATAGCAAACTAAACAACCATTCAAAAGATCTTCATCCATCCTATTACGCAAATCATTCTTTATGTACTTCATTGATGAGAATGCTCTTTCCACGCTTGCGGTAGCAACAGGAATAATCAAAGTTAACTTCACAAGTAGATACACAAGTGACCAAGTTTGATCTAGTTTTGTCTCTATCATCACTTTTGCAAGATCCTTGATTCCCTTCAAGTTGAGAAACTTGCTATCACACTTTTGAGCATAGACAATAAAATCATCAAGTTGAAAATTGAGTTCCCGAAGCTCTTTATCACCAAACTCACTTGGGTAGTACTCGGCTAGTTTCATTATCCTATCCTTGTGAAAATTAGCAAATGAATCAACCGGACTCAAACTAGCCATACCGAGAAGCAAGTCACTAGTCACCACATCAAAACGATTATTGAGTTTTTGAAGTGCCAAATCAATGACGGCATAAAATACTTCCACACGAAAGTGATGCAAATATGAAATATTGGACCTCTTACGCTTCGACTTCCCATTAGAGTAGTCTTCATTCATTTTGGGAATTGAAATTCCATGTTTACCACAAAATAAGCTAACCTCATCCATCATAGAGTCCCATTCATCCTCTCTCATCATTTGCAATCTTTTCTTTGAAAGGTCAAGCAATCCCATAGCATTAACGATATCTTGATCTTTCTTTTGTAAAACTTTATTCAACTCATTCGTCAATAGCAACACCTTAAACATCAAGTGCAACATAAAGACAAATTCAAATTCATGAATCTTGCTCAAAAGATTTTCCGCCGCAAATCTATCAAGATGATATGGACAATCACGTTTCATATCCTTAAGCACATTAACAATTGAAGAAAAAAGAATCAGGAAATTGTCCAAGGTTTTAAAATGAGACCCCCAACGAGTATCACCCGGTCGTTGGAGGCCACATTCTTGATTCAAACCTTGCCCTGTATGAACTTCTCCAAATTTAAGCAACTCTTCCAACTTATCTTCTTGATGTTGTCGAAGTGAATCTCTGCGTTTAAATGAAGCTCCAATAGTATTCAAAATATTAGTGAGAACATAAAAAAAATTATCCACATCCGAATTCTTTTTGAAAAGACCTACAAGTGCCAATTGCAATTGGTGAGCAAAATAGTGAATAGAATATGCAGATGACGTATCTTGTAAAATCAAAGACTTGAGACCATTTATTTCCCCTTGCATATTACTAGCCCCATCATAACCTTGACCACGTATTTTGGATGTACATAATGAGTGATCCAAAGGCAAAGAATAAATTGCCTTTTTTAATGATTGAGAAGATGTATCATTTACATGGACAATACCCAAGAATCGCTCTATCACCATTCCACTTTTGTTGACATATCTCAAAATTAGAGCCATTTGCTCCTTATGAGAAACATCCTTTGATTCATCAACTAATATTCCAAAATAATCACCGTCCAAGTCTTCAATGATAGCCTTAGTTGTTTCTTTAGCACAAGCCTCCACAATATCTTTTTGAATTGTCGGACAAATCATCATATCATTTTGTGGAGCATTACCTAATATTACTCTTCCCACATCAAAACTTCTATCCCCATACCATTTCAAAAGTTCAAGAAAAGCACCCTTATATTCGGAACCTTCACTTTCATCATGCCCACGAAATGGAAATCCCGATGTCAAGAGAAATCTTGCTACATCAATTGAGGCATTTAAACGCATCCGATAATCACTTCTTGCCTTTTCACTTTGCTTGTCAAAAGAAGATTGGATCGATTGTCGTTGGTTTTTCAAATCTTGCATCCTATTGAAACATTTATGATGGATACTATTTACCTTACCAACATGTTTTTTGAATCTTTCTAAAGCTTTGTTCCAACACCTAAAACCATCTCTTGTAAATGAATCTCCGGCATTTCCACGACTTTCAAGTTCATTCTTGAACAAATAACAACACAAACAAAATGCCGCATCTGCTTTAATGCTATATTCCAACCATTGAGATCTTCTCTTAAACCAAGTTGGTCGAAATTGACGCATTTTTTCTCCAAACTTAGTTTTAGGGAAGATATGATCAACAGGCTGACATGGCTTTTTTTGAATGTAATACCTCCTTACCGCATCTCGAATATTAGGACCATAAGATGAAATAGGCATTCGATCTTTGGGATCTGCTTCAAGAGATTTAAAATCAAGCATATTATCCATATTTGAAAGTGGAAAAGAATTTGTATGTCTTTGAACTTCCGGAGCAACTTGTGAACTCACAAATGGTTGATAAGAGCTAGAACTTGGTTGGCCATCTTTTGGCTTTGGTAACTTGATGAGAAACTTATCCATTTGTGATTTGATGAATTGATTGTAAGAATTATTTTACCTACAAAATTAAATATTCACCCTTCTATTCAATCTTATAAAAACAAAATATTTTTTAAAAAATATTAGCACAAATAACAAGTTTACTAATAAAAGAATCACAATTATTAGATAACTATTTAGAAATCAAGAAATTCTTATAAATTTAAATATTCAAGCAATCAAATAATGGAACCACTTCATAAATCAAGAAAAACATATAGATAACTATTTAGAAATCAAGAAATTCTTATAAATTTAAATATTCAAGCAATCAAATAATGGAACCACTTCATAAATCAAGAAAAACATATAGATAACTATTTAGAAATCAAGAAATTCTTATAAATTTAAATATTCAAGCAATCAAATAATGGAACCACTTCATAAATCAAGAAAAACATATAAAACAAATGAAGTACATTAATAAATAATATTTTTTTATAGATAACATACCTTGTTACTTGTTCTCAAATCTCACTTCTACTTCACCATAAACAACAAAGTGGAAATGTGGAATGAAGCCAAAAGAATAACAAATATGATGTCTTTACTCCTTTTTACCTTTTAGTTTAGGGCTTTGAAAAGTCAAAAGAAAAAGTAAAAAAATATAAAATAAGAAAAACGTCCAAGTAAAGAAGGAAAGGAGAAAAAGAAAGTAAAAAATATAATTTGACTTTTTTGACACTTCTAGCTTAAGGTCTAGACATAGCTAATGCAACCTAAAAATATGGGTAATTGAACCTCTTTTTATTTATAAATTATTAAAAAGATCTATGAAAAGTGACACATTTTATTATATTAATTAAAAATTAAAAATGTTAATGTGGATAGAAAAATTTGAACCACAAATCTTTAAGTTATGCACCCCCTATTTGTACTTACTTATCAATATACTAGAGTATTCTTTTTAACCTTGGGTTCACCAATACAAATTTAAAAAGATAATTAGAAAAATAGTAGTATTATATAGGGGTTAGGAAGGGGAGGATGGGTGCATGTGAACCCCCTCCCCTTCATGTGCATACGCCTCTGCTGATGCGTCCCAAGTATCACTCATCTTAGATTGTAAAACAGTGTGTTGGCATCTCATTTGTACACTTCTCCCATTAATTTAGTGGTTACACAGGGACACTCCTCTTTCTTTTGCATTGGATTTACTTTGGTCATGGCAATATGTAGTTGAAAAACTGACGCTAATGTTAGTTACCTTTCAATGAGACAATGTTCTTCCCTACTGTAATGTATAGAATATCTATGCGGTAAACTGTATTCTGAAATAGTCCCTCCCTGACATGAGCAAGGAGAAACAGTAGTGTGCTACATATGAGCAACAGTATCTGTGTGTATATATATTCCTAAATGTTTGTATATACTTGGTTTATAAGATTTTAATGCCATAGCTGAAATATTTTAAACAGGATATTATGATGAACTGTAGTATTAAGGACGCACTTGTAGCTGAGGAGTAGTTCTTCCGCAGCCATCCTGTATGTTTTCTATTGTCGCTTATTTAGTTGATTTCATGCCTATATCCATTAACTATCTCCTGTTTTATCTATCTTTTCTTGAAGGTATGTGGTGTCTCTCAATTAACAACCAGGTAATCTGTGCTGGTCAAAGTAACAGCAATTTTTCTTTTATTGGGTTGCCATTTTGCACACATTACAACCTTGTAGGACCGAATATTTATCAAAAACGTGAAACCACAATAAGCGCAAACAATTATATTTTTGAGTAGCATTTTCCAAATATCTCCAAATCAATTAATAACTTATAATTTTCATCCTCTAAAGTTTTTTCCTGAGTTTTAAAATGTAATTGACATGTTGAAATTTTATTTTTTTTTAAAAAGAAGGGGTGGGGGGGCAAGAAGTCATGTTTTGAGAAATACTTTCACCTTGAAATACTTTGTGCCTTACCTTGTCACTTGTGGTTGGAAAAAAACCTTTTTTACACAGTAACCATGTCTGGTATGGGCACTCTCCTTCTGAACATTCTTTCCAAGTACATTGAAGGTAATGTGGCCTAAACCTTGCAATATTTGGTAGTAGTCCTCTACTAGTTTCTCTCCTCTATCTAATGTTGCTTCCTAGTATCAGATATCATATTATTTGATCATATTACACTTCTAACCTTTTTACTGGTCTCTGTCTTTTTTTTTTCTTCTTTTTTTTCTTTTGGTTGAGAGAAGCATTTTCTTCAATGATAGAAGGAAAAAATGAAGAAATGTCAACTTCTGAGCTGTCTGGTGGAGCAAGAAATCATCACATTTTTCAGGACATATTTGTGAAGAGTTTGGAGGTCCACTTCTTTATATATATTAATCTTTGAAATGCCTACATTATTCTTTTCTTGCTTGGAGAATTGAAATTCATCTCTAGACTTGCTAATGTTTGCACATAAATGACGTTGATGCCATTTTTGTCAATAGGTAGCTACGATGTATGCTTTGGTAGGTATGGTCAACTCTGAATGGGTTTAAAATGCTTTTGTTGGGCATTAAGTTTTTTATTGGTGTGGTCTTCATAAATTGTTGCTAAGGGCTGTGAACATATACAATCCATAAATAATATTTCCCACGTAAGTTGGTTTTCATCCAGGAACATAGTTGCATAATCGAAATCCTCCATTTTGAATAGTCTTTTTATCGACTAGCTCCTTGTGTTAATAAACCACAAGTATATACAATAGGTTCCTCATATACAAGCATTCTAAATCTTCAAGGCTGTAAAAAGATGTGAATGACAAACACAAGAACTTTTCAGTAACTTTGCATATTAGTATGTTGATTCGTACAATTGTAATGTTCATCCTAGGTTCAGTTGCTTATCAAATTTCATCAGATTTCTCTTTCTCCTGCAGGGAAGTTGATCCTTGTGAAGATTTAACTGATGATGACATCCGAACTGCCATTCAAAAAGCCACGGGTCCCAAATCCGCTTTATTTATGCCAGAAGTAACTCCAAAGGATTAACCTGTTTCCTTGCGTTTGCTTTTGAGCCAATAGTTCAGCACTTTCTAGAATACTTGTTGTAATTTTTATGACATTTGTTGGCTGCATCTTAATTATTGTGTAAATATGCAGGTCCCATTTCAAGTTCACATCCGAAGGTAAATAACATGTTTAATGAAACCGAGTTTTCAGTGTGCAAGATTTATATATGATGAGCTGGTTCAAGTTAGGCCATTGTTGACTACCTTTTTATTCCGGTAATGCTTTCTTATAATTGATGTTCTAACTTGAATGATTCCTTTGTAGATGAGCCATCGTTGTATGGTCAATGAGTTGCAACGGTTTCCAATTTTGAGAAAGCGCATGCATGAGGTTAGGAAATTTTTTGGCGTGATGGACTGGAACCTTCAGAAGTAATGATTGGACACATTATTGAAATGGAGTTATGTCAAAATGTTGGGTGTTTTATTTGGTTTTGCTTAGACCTAAATACAACACACATTTGCATCTATGATCAAGTTTATTGAATTGATCGATACTTTTGAAATATTTAGCTAGACCTTGAATCCTTTCTTGCCAAGACAAGTTTGTGAATTGCTATAGCAAATCACTAAAATTCTTATGAATCTTTTGCTGTTAATATTTTATATTGATCTACTTAATTATTTTTTCTGTTGCAGATGGATTGTATAAATCACATCTTGTGGGAATAAAGCTCATGAGATGGCATTACAGCTGGTCAAGCCATCTAGGATTGCTGCACCAAATCTGAGGTAGAAATTAAATGCTACATTTGCTGTTTCACAGACTTTTGCAAATGGTCTTGCAAGTTATATCATACTGATGCTAATTTTTTGCTAATATATTGCTACAGAATGGAGTAGATCTAGAAAAGTGCCAACCTCAGAAAGAAGTCTAAAATCACGTGCTATCCTTGCCAGATCAGTTGGTGGTTTTATCCCTGATCAAGTTGGCCTTTCTGCTTCATCATCTCCTTGTTTGGTTTCTTCATCATCTCCCTGATTGACATCGCACAGCTTTCAAATATCTAATAGTAAGAAACTTATATTATTTGCATTTACTAGTGTTCTTGACTGGGAACAGGTTGTTCGGCTTGCTCCAGTGGTCGAGAAAACTATAGCGTCAGGTGTGTTTCCATCTGGTGATACATGATGTTTTTCATTTATGCCACATGTTTGTTACATGAAAAATACACGAGTTATTAGTTATTTTGACAAGTTAAATATCTTATTGACAAGAAAGGAATGAATATTGTATATAAGGAATGCAAATGCTGCTTTATGAAAAAGTCCTTCCTCATGTAACTTATGGTACTCTTTAATTCGATAAGCACCGTGAACTTTTCTGTTGCTGCTTATCAATTCATTTTATTTTTCTGGACTCTTTATAATCTTTAGAAAATATTTTTTTGCTGGGTCTTATTGCCAAAGCCATTGCTGACATATTTCTTCATTAGGATCAAATGTTGGTTCAAGTTGGAGAATATCATCAATATTTGGTGGCTCGGACAATCGTCCATCTATAGAAGACAATTTCATTAGCAAACAATTCAGTGATCCTGTACAGAGCATGGGCCATGCTTTCTGAATGATCCACTTGAGAGAGGTATGAGTTTTGAAGGCCCTCTCTGCTGTATGATTTCTTTATGGATTACGTTGGTGATAAAATCAAACATGATATCTCTATATGTTTTGCTTGAAACCCCCAGGTATCTTGAGGCCTTCAGAAACTCATTCAGATCAGTAGACTGCTGTAATTGCCATCATAAAACTGTTATTGAGGTCATACTGTGACATTGTCAGGAAGAAAAATGAAGACCTAATACCTAAAGCTATCATGCATTTTCTGGTAATTCTGAACAGCAATGACTTAGTCCTTCGTTGATTTCATGCTTTGATGTTTTTGACATCTTTGTGAGTGGCCTTTCAATGGACTTGTGCTTAGGGTTCTTCACTTCCATCTAGTGGTAGTCTTGAGGATTCCTAAATCTACTATTCTAGCAGTTCCTTTGTTAAGTTAAATGATAGTAAAAGTTCTTCCCAGCTTGTCGCATTCTCTTAGTTTCCTACTTACGGATGTTTTCTTTCAGGCAGATTTTGTCAGCACTAGAAGACAGTCGAGACACAAATCGTAGAAGGCTAGAATAGAATAAGTTGTAAAATATGCCAACAAGGGATCTTAGACAAGATAAACTCAGTAATCTGCTTTCTGTCATATTCTAAAAGCACAGGGGACTAGTGGTACTGTTTGGTTTTCTGCCAATAGTTAAGAGGCTAATTAATATCTGGGAAAAGTAATTTTCTATAATCGTCACTCAGCTAATTTCTTATCTTCTCATACTGATCAGTCAAGTTTCCATTCAGGTCTGCTTTTTCAATTACCGATGCTGTGAAAATCCTGAACTTTATTTTATCTGGTGGAAATTTCTGTATAGTTGGAATTGTTTACTACCTGTTGTTGGCACAATTTCTTGAAATAGCCAATGAGAGTTAAAAAGTATCCTGGTGTCTGTTAGCTTTATTAGACTCAGGGTGTTGTGTTTTAAGTTTGAAGTAAGAATGCTGAAATGATTTTCATTTTCGATTTGCATTTCTTTTTTGTTGACAAAAATGGTGTTATTCTGCTTTCCAGGCAAATCAGACCAAAAGAGATCTACACAATGTGGTTCATCAAGAAACTTTATAGGTATTGGTAATGGAGTTTTTATATTTAAGGTACTTTACAGGATAGTGGCTCATTGATCCTTCATTATGCTTCTTAGCCGCACAAACTTTTATGTGCTTATGCACTTGTATGTTGTTTCTAGCGCCTGTCAGCTTAGCCAATTCAAATGTGAACTATTTTGCATGTACTCGTAGTTCTTATCAACTGTGCTTGCTATTTATTGCAGAGAAAACCTCTTCGAAGAGATGTTGCAACAAGGTTCACTAAGCTTTCTGAAAAAAAGTTCAAGGTTTTTGATAAGTTCCATCTTTTTGAGGCTTTGTTTAGGAACTAAGCAGAAAAGCTTGTCTAAGTTGGGAAGAAGTATGCCAACATTAACTCGTAACTGTACTTTGGCTATTTTCTCATTGTCATCGTACTCCTTGCTAAATCCGTTTTGCCAGATATTCTATTTGGCATTGTACTCCTTGTGAAAGTCTCTAACCTTATCCTAGTGATGTTTGCTGATTCTTTAAGATGTTCTGTTTGTCATCATTCTCTAGGTTTTGCTCAACTTATAATGACTTTACTTAAGGGTACCATTTAGCTGGAACTAATGTCTTCTGGTTTGCAGATATTGGAGGCGTTACCACTTGATGCTGAGACAGTTGAAAGGCCTTTGGTGTTAATAGGAGGATGAGGCTAGTTTTGTTGCCTTTTGGTATGATCATTGGCAATTGTACCTGGCTGTCAATTTTTGGTGTCCGATCCTTCATAATTTTGTCAAATGAGATCATCACTTGTGTATAGTATTATTGCCATTATCTTGGAGAATTCTTGTCATTTTCTCACAAGGATGATGTTCCTCTTTGATGTATATTTCACCACTTTTACTATACTAGTCCTTGTTGAGCATAAAACTGAGCTTGAACCTATCCAATTTCAGTGGTGTCATATGAGTCAAGAGCTAGAGCAATAAAGTAGGAATTTTAAGAAAGCGGATTATCTTTCATGGGTAAGCAGTGCTCTTTTGTATAAGCATAAGGTGATGGTGCTTTTATCCAACTAAAAGAAATGGAGTAGGTCTCCTATACAAGCGAGGCAATCCACAATAATGTGGAGTGGTGAGTTGCTTATAGTATAATCAAAACTTCTCTTTAAGCTATATACATTTTAATTAAATTGGATTAGCTCATAAGTCACATTGGTGGATTTTGGACTCGGCAAGTGTTTTTTCTCCCCCAATATATTGTGGCACTAGTTCTAATAAGGCACCTTCTAATAACAATAACATAGGGACATAAACATTCTAATAATAAATTATCATGAGCATTCTATAAGTTACTACATCCAAAACCTCAATAATAAATCACCACAAAGACACAGTGACCTTATAATCCCATTATACAACTCAAGAAGAACCCGGACCCAAAAACATATAAAAAAAAATCATTAATAAAATTAAAAATATATTTTTAAAGTCAATTTTCAAGAGGCACGGATATTAAGGATTTTTTTTTATTTTTTTTTTGTAATTCGTGACATTATCCAATTAACCTCACCCAAATTCTTGTATTTCCGTCGTCATACACATTCCGGCCGGCGACTAGTGCATTATCTCCGGCAACCAGAATCGAAATTGTTACCAGTAACAATGAAGTCCATATCTCCATTGTTCTCAGTTTCCACTGCCAAGTCTCCAATTTTCTACTTCAGTCCTATTTCCCAAAGACTTTCGTCTGTCAAATTTGCAGCCCCACCGAAGATAAATTCACCAGATACGAAAAGACCCAGTTCAAAATCAGCTAAAACCCTCTCTGCAGCTCCTACAATAGACCCAATAACTACTACTGCCGCTTCCGCATCTCCCAAAAAGGTGAAGAGTTTCATTCTTTCCGTTCAGTCTTTTTTGTTTGTTTATTCATTTGCTTCGTATGTAAAATTAAAGATTTGCATTAGGAACTTGAAAAAAAAATAGTGCAGTAGAAATACATGTAAGAATATAAGCTGATTGGTTGATTATCATTTAATAATTCAATGGATATTAGTATAGACTACAGAGGTTCATTGAGTTTTGCCTTTTCTTTTCATTTTTGAGGCGTTTATAGGTTCTACTGCCAATTGGGTTTGGCACAGAAGAAATGGAAGCTGTAATATTGGCTGATGTTCTGCGCCGGGCTGGTGCAGAGGTAACAGTGGCATCAGTAGAGCAGCAGTTGGAGGTTGAAGCATATGGAGGCACTAGGCTAGTTGCTGATACTTTCATCTCTACTTGTTCCAATGAAATATTTGATCTTGTTGCATTGCCGGTTAGTATTAGCTTTCCCTTAGTATTGTTGATATCATCTGATCTGTTAAATGAAATATCCGTCATACATATGTATCTGTTACAAGCTGTGAAGATTCACGTGAAATGCATTTTTTGAAAGTCAGTATAACTAGCTCCACTGCTTCTTTTACTACTCATATCCTTTCTCCACTTCAATATTTCTTTTACTTGGCAACTTCAAGAATTACCAAAACACAAAGCAAATCAGAGATGCCATGTTAAGCTGCAGAGTTGGTTAAAAATTCTGTGTAAAACACGCAATTGGGTTATACTTAAGTAGTGTGTTTAAAGAGTCTAGATTTCATGGTAGTAATGGTCCTTCCCCATCTACTGAAATGAAACTCGATTTAGTTGAGGCTGCATTGTTACAATTGATGCATGAACTTGGAACTGATTTAACTGTGAAAGAAGTGCCAGCACAGTGATACAATGATCCAGCTGATTCTATTGATGCACTTTCGTCCTTGTAGGGATTTTTCTTTCTCTACATAGACTTTGTATTTTGTATCTCTGATAATGTAGCTTACAGTTATTTCATCACAGTTATATCTGTGTCAATGTCATAGGTGGAAATTTAATAACTGATGTATAGACTTGATATAGGGAGGAATGCCAGGTTCTGCTCGTTTAAGAGACTGTGAAGTTCTCCAGAAGATCACAAGCAGGCAAGCTGAGGAGAAGCGACTTTATGGTGCCATATGTGCTGCTCCAGCAGTCACTCTTTTGCCTTGGGGTCTTCTCAAGAGGAAACAGGTGACTATTGCATTTAGTTTATAGAGTTTGCTTTCTGCACTGTGTCTTTGTTCCTGGTTTGGTTAATTGATGCAGTGTCTATCAAGACCACTTGTCATCCTGCATTTATAGACAAAATTTCTTCCTTCCGGGTGGTGAAAACTAACACACAAGTCTCTGGAGAGCTAACAACAAGTCGTGGTCCTGGCACTTCATTTGAGTTTGCCATATGTTTAGTGGAGCAGCTGTTTGGCGAGCCTGTTGCCAGAGAAATTGGAGAACTCTTGGTGAGTGAATGAATTATTGATATTCTTAATTCTTTACTTAACTTCTAGTTCTAGACCTTCTTCTTCACATATAATTTTTTTAAAAAAAATATCAAAACTGAGCTGACTGGTAACTGGATCATTCATGGGTTGTTATTTAGTTATGTCATCATTCTATCTAGTTCGTATTGGGCTGAGGTACTGGAACCAATTCGATCATGAACTATTGCTAGTTAGGTTCTGAGGACATGTTTAACTAAGAGATGCAACTTATTTGTGGTTTCCCCATTGCTTCCAGCATTGACTTGAGAGGTGGAAAATGAGTTCTGTTCTATTTCTGGGATCAAATCTGAAAAGAGTGCTAAGAGAAAGTTGTTTCTTGACTCAGTTTACAAGTTCAATTGAACAGGATTCAACTAAATTTCAGAGGGCTTGTGCACAACTGGCAATTGTGAAAAACCTTTTGTGAACACTTCATTATTATTTGGCCTTTGATTTGTTTGTATCTGACTTACATCGTTTATCTGATTGGGTTGTTTGTTATACTTTGATTGTTCTCATAAAACTTCCGTACATTTGTGTAGTTGATGAATCCTGCAGGTGATGACCCAAAGAGACAAGAATTCAATGAAGTTGGATGGTCTCTTGATCGCACCCCCCAAGTAAGCCTTCCTTGTTTTTGCTTTATATAGCTGGAACTTAAACTGTAATTACAGAATTAATTTCAGTAACAATGCGCTCACCCCTATGAGTTCTTTATCTTGTGCATAATGTCGAAGGAACTGTTTAAGGGTCTTAATGAATGTGCATTTTTCTTATTCGGTGCTTATCCATTCATCGTTCTGGCATAATGATGATGCAAATTCATGTTTTTAATGCTGTGCTAAAAACATCTCGGTGTGTCAGTGGTCATCTTCCATTGTTAGGAATTCAGGAAATGGTTTCTTTATTCTTTTCTTCCCACCTTGGGTTATCAATTTATTAGTGTTGCCTTGCAGCTCTGATGCTGGTACTGCTTCAGTTGTTACCTTGTAGGTGAATATGTCTAGCAAGTGACTCTGGTTAATGTGAAATTTGTTTTTGACTTTGGGCAAGGTTTGTTGTGAATGTTATCAACCCTTGGGGCATACATGGAATTTGTTCTTGATATTTATTTTTAGGAACAATTACACGCAGTTTCTTGTCTGACTTGATGAGAGAATGTACTTGTGTCCTAGGATTAATGATGTTTTCGTGTGAATAATTTATTTCCCGCGACATGTCAATGTTCTCCATCTTCACAATTTTGTAGGTTCTAATTCCAATAGCCAACGGGTCTGAAGAAATTGAAGTGGTTACCTTGATAGACATTCTAAGACGAGCAAAGGTGAATGTTGTGGTGGCTTCAGTGGAAAAATCAGCACAGGTTTTGGCATCAAGTGGAACAAAAATTGTTGCAGACAAGTTGATAAATGCTACTTCTGACTCCATATTTGACTTGATTATCCTCCCGGTGAGGCTAAGTCCTTTTATTTAACCAGCATTTCCACGAGTTCTCCAAAAATTTTAGGCAAATGTACCTATTACCAACTCATAAGTGAGTTGATTTTTGTAGGTCCATCACTTGCTTTGATAATTAATTGGTTCTTATTCTCTAGGGAGGAGCTGCCGGGGCTGAACGGCTGCACAAGTCAAAAATTCTCAAGAAGTTGCTTAAGGAACAAGAGTCAGCTGGAAGAATATTTGGTGCAATCTGCTCTTCACCTGCAGTCTTGCAGAAACAGGGGTTAATAAAGGTATGATGTTAACCATTTGAATGTCTTAATTTTGAGAGAAGAAGTTCAATTTACACACTTCCTTAAACAGGACAAGAAAGCCACTGCACATCCTGCTGTCTTAGACAAGCTCAAAGACGGGGTAAATGATGCTCAGGTAGTTATCGACGGTAAACTCATCACATGCCAGGGACTTGCTACAGCGATACAGTTTGCACTGGCTATTGTGAGCAAGCTTTTCGGGCATGCAAGGGCAAGGAGTGTAGCAGAAGGTCTTGTCTATCAGTACCCTAGGAGCTAGAAATGCCAGTCCTGAAACCTTCAGAGTGCCCAAGTATGTTATAGGGGCAACTCATATCGATGGATTACATACATACTTCACCGGCAATTACAAGAAAGGCAACTTTCTTGTCCTTGATGACTTGGTAGCAGATATAACAAGCTCGAGAGGAGATTTTCCTAAGTCTGCCAAAACCAAAGGTAGTCGCCTCATTCCAATGCAATAGCCAAGTCAGCGTTCATCTGCAATTGGGGCAAACTGGGTGGATATCTCAACCCAAGATGACTTATAAATTCACTTATATACTTTCCCCTTTTCTTGACAGGATTAGTCCTAACCTACTATACAGAGTTCCTACTAGATCTTTAACTGGGAATAGGGCATTTACTATCACTCGGCCAGGTCGCACTGGAAAGAGTGATGATCAAAGTAATGACGCCAGTTATGGGCAAATTGTTCTTCGCCTCATCTCTGTCTCGTCTGGACACTATATATTACCCCCAGCCCACAAGTTTCTTTTCTTTGTTTAGTTTGGCCTCCAGAATCATGATTTTTGCCATTTAGAGCATACAGAAAGAGAATTGCTGCTCTCGTGCGTTGAATGGTGATCTTGGTGTGTACTAAACAATAGATTACATTATGAATTTGTTTTGTTTTTTCACTTCTCTGGTGATCTTGCTGTGTACAAGGAAATAAACAATCCAGGAGGAATGCTAGAGTACAATTCATTTTTGTTCATGAGCATTTTGGAGACGAGATGAGTTGATTGCATTTAGTTGAAGCAAGCCTTGCAAGAGTAAATAAGAAAGTAGAATTGTTGGTTCATAGATATCTTATTATTTTTACAGAGAAAAGCTACCTCCAAATATGTCTCTCTTACCTAGATAGCTATGGAACTGATACATCCTGCTTGCATAGTGCCTCTATGACTAAAATGTGTGAAGCAAATTAAAAGTACACAGAGGAATTCATACAAGCAAATCGTTTACATAATGTACATAAATGGGTATACCATCTCCTTACCATACATAAGGTTACCACACATGTGACGAAGGTAGATCTGAATCAGATCATAACTAGCAATCCCATCCACCCAACTATTGCCTATGCTTGTACTCAGCAATTTTTGCTTCAACTCCATATTCTTCTACCAAGGTCCTGTCAGTGTCCTTCTCAAGCATCTTAATTTATATCCACGTGGCATATTCCTTTTATCGGTTAGCTGCAATTGTACAGTAGAATGGAATGGTTAGCAACACCGGCAATCTACCAGACAGTAGACAACCTCGTTTAACTAATAGGAGTAACATGTTTTAGTCTCGCAGCCTGAATGTGCAATTACTCCATCCACTCAGGCAATTGATGACATAAACATACATAGCGCATTTCATGGAAGCTTTGCTCATTTTGTTGATTAGTAAGCATGTACATTATTTTTACTCTTCCTTCAGACCAATTATTAGTACTAAAAGAATTCCGTACCTGATTTTTCTGGTTCTCAATAATTTCAGCCTGAACGAAAAATCAAAAGTGAAAGTTACAATATGAACACTTCACAATGCCATTGCAGTAATTTTATGATCTCCAGTCATTTGACACATACCTGTTTCTTCCGCAACTCTTCATTAATTTTTTTTAGCTTTGCCACTTCAGCTTCCAACTCTAAAGTATAGGCCTGTCATATCCCAGATGAAGGTGCAACTAAGAATTACATTCACAACATAAACATTTAACAAATTCAAGTTGTTATTGATGGGAAACCAAAGTTTGTAACCAACTACTTCCCTCTTTCTCACTCTCAAAATCCCCCACTTTTGTTATAAAGAAACAAAAATTCAAAGCTGCAACTGAGTAAACATGCACATCCTAAAATCTAAACCACACTCGATGTATTATTTGCTTTGCCAAGCAAACTTCTTAATCCCTGAATAACACTGTCAGCTATATCAGGGCTCGTTATTAAGATTATCAGCTTGATAAAGCATATAAGGAAGCTGTTTGAAACAGATGTAATAATGTTTGAAAATTTATCAGCCATTGTTAGATCTAAGAGTAATTAAAGAAGATTGTGATAAGGAAGTCTACATTAAACACCAAGATAATGCTGTCAAAATCTTCAGCTCTTTTACTCAAAATTGCATGAGTCATTTTCATTATACAAAGTTGTTGACCAAGTGTCATATTAATTAGAAGTTTAGAGTAAATCCTATGAATGTAATGGTCCTCAAGAATCAGAAGCACAAGAAAATATTGCAAATCATCAGATAATAGCTCAACATATGAGTTCACCTGCTTCCGAGCCCTTGATCTAGCTGCAGATTCTCTGTTCTTAATCATCCTCCTACGCCTTCGCTCCACAACTTTTTCCAAAGAACTACCGGATCTCCTTCCCCTTCCACCTTCACTATATGCATAAGGGGAAGGTGAAAGAGACGATGTATCCACATTGCTCCTTGCAACAAAATCGTTTCCAGGGGATCCTCCTTTTGCTGGTGAAACTCCATTATAAAATCCTGTCATCCCCATAACTCCGCCTTGAGCCATATTAGCATTTACAGAAGGACTGGACATTCCAACAGCAGGAGCCCTTGTTCGAGGGCTAGCCAGGTGACCATTATTTGATAACTGCAAAGGAGATGCAAATGCCACTGTTGTTTGCTTGGGGAAAAGAGGCTGTTGCTTCTGAGGTTGTTGTTGCTGTGAGGCTGTGGGACCAACCACATTCAACATTTTATTGCCTGCAATTTGATTAATCAACAGTCCAGTGTTTTGAGTTGGTTGCTGAAATGCTATGTTGAAACCATTGTTGTTGTTCTGTTGACTTAAACCATTGTTAAATGTAATACCACTTGAGTTTGAAGTAGATTGCACATCTTCTCTAACTACACCTGCTTTCACCAGAAAATCCTCCAATGTCATTTCTCCCAAGGTAGACTGCCTCTGCCCAAAGTTTGATTTCCCAGTGTCACTTCCGTCTTTAGTACATACCGTAGTTTCTTTTTGAAAGTTTCTCCATACTTCATCAACAGTTTTCTGACTAAGTGTCCGAGGTAACGTCAAAGAACCTTGCCTCTGTAGATTTCCTACAGGTGCATTCCCATCTCCTTCTCCACCAGTAGAAGATGTCACAGCTTGAGACTCTTCAGCTGTCCAAATGCTTTTCAACAGTTCCTCCATATTTATTGATCCAAAATCTTTTCCAAGGCCACTAAATGTAGTTTGAAGCTCATCAAACGTCAACGAGTATATCGAAGATTGCCTAGCCAAAGGGAAATCACCATTACCAATTGACTTCCCCCCGTTGCTCTCCAGCTGTGGCGTGTCAGCAACGTTCTTGAAATTCATGTAAGATCCCATGTTACTAGATCTCAAAGGGTATTTGAATATCTGATAAAAAAGACTCATTAGTACAAATTTTAGCAGTTAAAGTAGATCAGTGGCAGCTGACCATTGGAACCTTTTTCTTTTCTTAGCTAGTGTTTGACCATATATTTTAGGAGTAAATTTGGAATATTTATCTTCAAAAATCTATTCGGCCATGAATTTTGAATCTTCAAATATTTCAAGGTCCCAAAACCCGACTCAGACTAGTTTTTGGATTTTTGGACTTACACTCACATAACTTCAAATTTTTTTCAAGTAAAATACATGTTCAAACACAACTTCAAAAACTCGATTTTTCAAGTTTCAAGTTCAAAATCTATGGTAAAGGGAAACTTAACAGATGTGTCAAATCCAAGAAGTACAACAATTAAACCCATAGATTCAGGAGACATGATATTCACCAAATTAACAAATAACAGGACTAATTGAATTGACAAGTTTTACGATTATTTTTTCATAATAGAAACAAGCAAAAATCAATTCCATTACTGTCTCCAAAGAATTCAAATCATTCTTGAGCTATATTAAACCATAGATAACTTATGATAGACCATATTAACTACAAACTCAAGGATAACAAAATTGTTCTGCTCCACCAACAGAGGACTTCTTTTTGCGGGTTTAGCTTGACTAATCCGTATTTGGGCAGCGTAAAATGGCTCCCTACCAAGTATTTTTCCATATCCGGGCTCAACATCGAGACATCTGGTTAAGACATCCAATGAACCACATCATAAAAGATGACTATATAGGTCGTAATAGATGTGAATCCACCTGTCCAACAGATTTCTCGAGTTTTCGAGTTTATTTATGGAATGTAATAACGCACAGTATAGGTCTAGCTTATCGACAAGTTAGGTCTTCATAGTCAGATTGAAGCTGTGCTGTCCACTAGAAAAAGATGCAATCTTTAAAGATCTTACTTTACTGCTATAACTTTGAATAACAAAAAAAAATCATGATCAATATCTGGTTTTAGTTGAAAAAAACCCCAGATCAATATCAGTATTAGCTCAATTCAGTATAACACATACTAAACAGTCTTTCAATACAATGGATCCAAGATTTAACCATCCCAAAACCAAAATTCATCTACCCAACATCATCTATACTTAAAATATACTTGATCAATAAGAGAAACTGCATATTAATACAAAGATTTCAACTTTATTAATCAAAAAAAAAAAAGATTGATAATTTGTTGAGATGTTGTTAGGATAGAGAAAAGAAAATAGAAAGTGGAGAGACAATTATACCCTTGTATGTGCAGAAGAAATGGAAGGGAAGAAACAAGGAAAGAGCAGCAGCGTGTCGTCTCCTTCTTCTTCGCTGATTTAGGGCTTGCTGGAGTCGACAAGTGTCTTCTCTTCTTACACCTTACCCACTCTTTTAAAGCCCCTCTTTCTTCATTTTTCTTTTTCATTGGTTTTATCGTCTAAATTTACGCGACACACTTTTATTTCTTTTAATGATGTGGTCGAATTATAATTGGTCACGTGTAAAAAATGGTTTTGTAAAATCACTGTTAAAAAATAATGGCATGAATGAGCCTTTTCTTAAACTGTAATGGCATAGATGAGCCAAACTTTTAACGGATGACATAAATGAGTCTTTTCTGAAAGTTCAATGGCATATTTGAGCCTTTTCCCTTTCTTTTATTAGTAATAACATATTTTCAACATAATTTACCGCAATTAGTGGCGGAGTTAAGATTTTTAATAAAGAATTTAAATCTGAAAAACTAAACACACAAACTAATCGAAGGGGATTCGACGTGTATTATATATATAATTTTAACCATATATAAATAGTAATATTTTCCGACGAAAGGGTTCATCAGAGTGCTGGCTCCACCCCTGACTGCAATATAATATTCCTTCATTCATCTTTACGTATTACATCCATTAAGATAGTAATTATTGATATAAATATTTTATCAAATTATCCCTTATAAAATGATGTCTTTGGAAAAAATGATTTGAAAATAAGTATTTAATATTGAGGGGAAAATATGAAGAAATAAATATTATTTTTCCTTGATATATCTAAAGTGACAAATAAAATCGAAAATGCGATAAAAATTAATTTCGAGGATTACTAAAAAAAATCTCTACTTTTTGATGTTGATATCGAAACGTGGACCAATGAAAGAGCTTTGATTCTCGATGTGAGTTTGGCCAATGAGATATATCAAAGTGGAAGAATTGGTGCCGTCAATTCAGGCTTATCCGACAATGAAACAGATGACGCTTGCTGATTTGTTTATTACTCTTTTTGTCTAAAAAAAGAGCACGAGGGTTAAAGTTATTATATTCTGATTTAATTTTTTTTAATACTTTAAATAAAATTGAAACTATAGCTACATAAAAAGATACTATTTGCTACTGTACTAATTTTCTTAAAAGTATTTGAAAATGTATAAGAAGATTATTGTCAGGAAAAAGATTGATGTAAAATAGAAATAATTTCAAAGTTTATTTCTTTTTTGAATTTAATACACTTGTTCAATAAATATGTTTTTTTTTTTTTTTATTGATTCAGACTATTTTCATTAAAGGAAATTCAAATGTATTTCAAATTTCACATTGTAGTTTCCTAGTACTATTAGTCAATTTCACATATGCTAGATGGGCGAAATTATTTTCATAATATTCTTTTTGAGCTTTTGAATTGTACAAAAAGAATCGATCATTAATCTCTCTTAAGAAAATTGAAATAAATTAATGCAGGTCAATGGTATAAAATAACTTCTTGGTGTATAGGGAAATATCGATCTTGTTCAAGTGGATGAATAGCGTGTCAACACGTGCATAGAGCAATTGATGAGCATACTTTAATTTAAAAGTATTGAACAACATTTTCGGAACCGTACATCATCTGGTGTGACGTCTCGTCAACATAGCCGTCTAGATCCAACGATATAGTTTCATTCAACTTTTCTTTAGTATAACTTATTATTTGTCATTTCATTACAAAATTGATGTAACTCGTATGCTCTTAAATTACTTTGATAAATTCAACTACATCGTATTACAGATAAACATTTGGTAACATATATTCCATATCCCGGCGAGAGCTGCAAATTATTTCAAGTTAATAAGTTCTAAACTGAATAATTTATACATATTTATTGAATTTCTTATAATAAATATGAAAATTGAATTAAAATTATTAAATTTGATTGAATTCGTGTGCTCTTCTCTAATCCATCTAGCATCTAGGAGTGTGGAGAAATGGACAGCCAGTCATTTACTTATCTTTAAAATAAAGTTTTACTGGCCAACAGCATTAGAGTAATTGATACTCCACTTTGCACTTAAATACTAAAAAACGAATCTGTGAAAAGAAAAAACAGATCATATCATAGCATGTGAAAATAAAGAGGAATGTGGTGCCAACGTGCAGTAGACACAATATAGTGGATCCTAGTCAGGTCATAAATCACAAATATGGTAAAATATTTTACCTAACGTGCAATAAACTTGTGGCATCTAAGTAAAAAGATGCCACATTTTAACCGACACTAGTGATAAGTTGATAACAAATAACTGGAGTAACTTTTAAACTTTACAAAGTAATATCTAACCAGTCTTATAAATTTGTGAGGATATTATATTTAGACATTCGAATTAAATTTTATTTCGCTTCAAATTTTGTAAAATAAAAAATAGTATGTGTGTTTTCATTCATTTATTAGGTAGTTAAGTTAGCCAAATAAAACCCTAATCATTATCCATTTGAAGTTGAGGTGTATAATTAAAGAAAATGACATATTTTCTAGGTTAAACTTCTAACTATTTACTAATAGAGAAATGAAAACATGTGCAATTTTTTTATTCAAAATTTGAATTAAAAGTATCTAATTGAAACACTTGATTAGAAGTGTAAGTGTTCGAATGGAACAGACTAATTCAAGTATTTAAATGGAATATCCTGATAAATTTAATGATGTATTAAGCCTTTTAAAAAATGATGCAAAATTTTAACATGGAGGTGTGGCCATCCACTAATTTAAAGAAAATATGGAGAGTAGGGTGCCTGCCATATCTCAATTAAGGCTGTTGAAAGTGTTGAAGTGACGATTGAAGGCAGCAAAAATCTCATCTTCCTAAGAATAAAATACTCAAAATGTGGTTGAGAAATAGGTATTCTCCCATTCCTCTAATTAACAAACGATATTAAATTGGTCTTTTAGTTTATCACCACTATATTTAATAATAAAAAAACTTATCAATTCAGAAAGAGATGACCTGCCCTATATTTATTTATTTTAATCTATTTGAAGTTTCTTCCTAGTTAATGTGATGAGAAAAGCTGAGGCAGCTAGCTATCTTTTTTTTTCCCTTGGGAAAAAAGTAAATAAGTTTTATACATTTGGGGGCTAATTACATCTTATTCAGAAGTTTCCACAATTAAAAAAATTCCAAATTTTTCCTTGCTTTCAAATATACTTCTTGATTGTCTAATACATTACAAATGATATCCGAGAGGGATATGGATGTATTTGAGAGGGTTAAGGATGATCGGAGAGGGAAATTTTGTAATTTATTTAAATAGTAGGAAATTTTAGAGATTATGTTATATTAAGTTGTGTATTTATGTAAAAAAAAAATGTAAAAAAAATAGAAGAAGAACCAATTAGGGGTGTACAAAACCGAACCAAACCGTAAACCGAGTCAAATCGAAAAAAAAAATCCCGACTAATGGTTTGGGTTGACTTGATTTGGTATTGGAAAAAAAAAATCCGACCACACTTGATTTGATTTTAACTAAAAAAAGTCAACCCAAGACCAAACCAACCCGACATTATATGTATAATTTTTAAAATTTATTTAATACATTAAAGTATTTACTTTGATGTAATTTCTAAATATTACTTATACGTTTTCATAATTTTTATCTTTTAACATATTTTTTCAAGTTTTTTTAAACTTTGAATTTTGAATGGTCCAATAAATGTTATAGTCCATAGATATTACTCATATTAGTAACTCTAATAAAGCTCAATTCAAAATCAAATCAATATTAATGCAAACAAAATAAATGAATTCAACACTAAGAATGACAATAATATTGTATATTTGTTCTTTTGTTTTACATTGGTTTAGACATTTAAAATACATAACCTAATTTTAATTTTTCTCTTTAATGTTTAATCATGTAATTAATACTTATTAGACTTATTTTAGCATGATTTAGTACTTTTAAATTATGATCATTTTTCATATGACTTATCAATTTGAAATATTTATTTTATGCATTTTCATTATTATTTTTTATTGAATATTTTAGTGTTAACACTCGTCATATTTTATGTTAATTTCTTAAGAAACACCTTAGATAGTTGTATTTTGGTTGGACTAAAGAAATATTTGGAGTACAAGTTAATTATATGTTTGTATGAATACTTTACCGGAAAAATCCAAAAACCCGAAAAAAATCTGAGATTTATTAGTGTGGTTTGATTTAAAAATTTAAATATGTGACACAAATGGTTTGGTTTGGTATTTGAAAAACCCAAAAAAAACCCGAGTTTTATTAGTTTGATTTGATTTATAAATTTAAAATTTTGACACAAATGATTTGATTTGATATTTGAAAAACTCGAACTAATCCGATCATGTACCCCTAGAACCAATTATGGAAGGAACTTTTGGGTAATATAGTTGGATTCATGTCTTAAATTCCTACTGGGCCATTTAAATGGGTTAGTGAACAGTTGGACTCTTGCAACTACCTTTGGGCCTATAAGCCCTTAATATTCTGTACAGATAGTTTGATGGAAAACATCCACTTCGATGTGCCAATATAACAACAATTTGATGGAAATTTATATTTTGATCTACAACTTGAAACCTCTTTATTAAAGTATCATTAACATAAATAAAATAAAATAAAATGTGTAGCATATATCTAGTTTAGAGGTAAAAGAAAAATGAAAGTTATAACAAAACTACCCATCTTCAATAATGCAACAGAATGTCGCACATAAGATGGATAGATTTGCCTCGGTACTTCTAGTGTCCGATACCAATCAACCTAAGAATGTTATTTTCAGGCTGCTTCCAATAGAATCCTTGCAAAATTACAGGCAGAATGTTGCACGATACAAGAACATAAATCAGCAACGCGTTCTTTCCCATCCATTTCAGTACTATGGTCCAGTATTTCGAATAGCCCCATACATCAACCATCACATACACTGCAGTAAATAGAAATCCAGCAGCACCAGCAGTAACACACATATAACTGAAAGAATACAAAGCCTTATTCAAATGCATCCCCAAGCAGTACTCACAAACTACGCCCAATAATACAAGACTAGAGGACGGTATCAACCATTGCTGAATTCTATGTTTATGATCTTTGAAATTGACAATAACGTGCCCG